CACACACACACACACACACACACACACACACACACACACACACACACACACACACACACACACACAGGTGTATAACTCTCTGTCGTCGCCCACTCTAACCGTAGCGACATCGCGCGTCGTCGCGCCAGATTCTCGCTAATCCTCACCGAGCGTACAGCAGCGCCGCCGCATCCATCCTCCTCTTCTCCTCGGCTGCCACGAGGGCGCGCAGCCTCGCCGCATGTGCTGCGCTCTGTGGGATCCTCGCCGCTCGCTCCCTGCGGTCCTGAAGGGTGGCGCTACGCGAACGTGTGGCGAGTAGCGCCCTGCAACGAGCGAATAGTCGCATTCGTTTATTCATTCATTTGTAATGAAGCAGAAATTATTAGAGCGGAAATTAATATTGAAATGTAGGAATAGGGAGCATGGGCGATAGTGGCACGAGTATTCGATTATAGAAGCGTCCAACAGCACATTGAAAAATTAACATCGCAACGCTTAAAAGATTGGTAATTATGCCAACGGCAGATGTGCAAATAGTACTGGGCCACGGAAGGCATTAGATATACATTAGATATAGATTAGAGGTACATTTGATACGGAAGGCGAGCACGCAGTAGTCTGGGCTAAGATAAGTAGCCACGAAGCAACGCATGCAGAATAAAAGTAACCAGGGACATTTTGGCAGCCAGCCAAAGGCCAAAGGGTTGGGTTTGGACACAGTCCAAACTGACGTAAGATAGACCCGGTGGTCACTCGTCATAGGAATGTCCGACGCCGAACCAATAGGGGCGATGGCCGAAGCGGACGGCGAGGCGAGAAGGGACGCGCCCGACGGTAAGGGCACGCCCAAGGGTATAAAAGGAGACGCGGAGAGAGAACATGGCCGGTTATGACGACATAGTGGTGTGCGAAATAAAACAACGTTTTCCCTGTGACAATCCGACTGTTCGCTTTATAACTGACTTCAACTTGTTCAACGCTACACATTCACGCATACGTCCATTCATCTATAGATTGATTTATGCATTCACCATAGTAGAAATATGTCTTCTTGTGTTACATACAGTTTGTGTAATTATTCTTGGTAGCTATCTGATTTGTTGAATTTTGAAATGATTGTTATACGTGGATATGTATACCTGGATATTTACTTTAATAAATAAAGAAATGAACATGAATTCAACAAAAATAAATAAAAACGTAGTGTGCAGCGTACATACCTTTCATCGTGGATCGAGGAGCAGTTGCTGGTACAGCGCGCGTTCGTCAGTCGTACGGGGACACTTCCAACGTTCCGGTTTTCCCACTGACGCAAAGTAGGAAGGTAGATCTCGCTGCCGACATACGAAAACAAAATTAAATATAAAAAGGAGAAGATATTAGATAAACTAGAATTAAATCGAATTGCTACAGAATATGTGCAACGTTTTAGTCTAAACTCATTTTGTCTGTTTCTTCGTGAAACGTGCTCTTCTACCTAATTATAGGGGCAACTTTTCGCGTTATTTATAGCCTCGAAAATACCGCTTGTGATTTTATTACTAGTATGTATTATAGGTATTTTTTTATATAAACATACGCATTTATTAATATGTCATAGAATAACATAAGTATTATTATTTATGAAATATTGTATATGAGCGCCATGAAAAATTAACGTTCTCGTTTTTTGCATGTGAGCAGAGCGTTTCGCTTTTTAATTAAGCNGCTGCGTATTTGGGTGGGCGAATTGCAGTAGTGCCGCGCAGTGGTTTGGGTGGACGTTGCCCTGCCACCATCTTTTGCATAACGGCCGACGCTGATCTGCATATTATCATATCTATATGCTGGAAACAGTGGCGTGGGCGCGCGAAAAGTTGAGTTGGATTGACCAATATTCTTCTATAAGCAGAGTGTCCACCGATGCAAGTTCTTATGCGCGCAGAGATACTTATTGTGGGTGCGGTCCATTGCACGCATCAGGTTGCAGTGATCCACCGTTCTGCTCAGATTTTACCGTCGCTGATATGCTGCTTATGACAGCAGCGAGCTGTGTGAAAGTGACGAGAGTCATCAGCCTTTATCACGATCTGCACGCTGGTGGCGTCTATTCATGCGGCATGGCGCACGGGAGATTACCACGTGTATGGTGAGTGTCTGTGTATGATGTGTTTGTGCGTGCGTGAACGCAATGCGTCGTGGCGCGCGCAGGTGTGCTGGCGTCTCCAAGTAGTCGGTTTTTCTCTGTGGTGGCGGTAGAAGTCTCTGATTGAATCTCAAGATTTGATTTTGATCTTTGCTGATCGTCTTCTGCGACGCTCGCCACCGGTCCATCGCTGCTCCTCTCACAATACCGCGCCCCCTCCACTTGTGCCGTCCAGCTCTCCAAATAACATCTCAACACACGACATGTTTTACATGTACGGACTTCCAGGCCGGTAAGCAAGTCCTTCCGTAGCCGGTGCGGTACTATGAACAGAAGAATATTATGACTCTGTTAAGAGGACGCGATTAAACTAAAGGCGGCGTCGAGCCCCGCGACTTTTGTTTGGACTTTAATTTTTCTTTCTCTGGTCTTAGACTGCTAGAGACTGGTTGAAAAATATACGTTTCTTCATATATTACTGGTGGTACATAGAACAAGTCTATAAGGGCCCTGCATTCTTTTGTTTACACTACTCAGGCTATGCTTGCCGCTTGCCAACAATTCTTCAAGCATCACGTAGTACATCTTGTCGTCTTGGGTAGCAATGTTCCGAGCTCCATAATTTTCTTTTGACCGGTCAGACGGAAATATATGATTATGGCCGTTTTAAGGCGGTGGCGGAAAGCGTAACAGCCGGATGCACCAAGTTTTCTTCAGTCTGTTAGCTGCAGCGACTGGACGGTGCTCGAGCATGCGCAATATCGTAACGAGAAAGATCATGTTTTTGTGTAAATTATGCAATTTTAATGAAGAGAAGGTATTTCGAAGCATAGATCCATATGGAAGCATTTGCATTAGTACATACCTCTCTTAAAGAAATAGGTAAAAGACAGATTTGCATGGTAAGGTGTCCTACTGCATATCCAGTCAGTACAGCAATCTGACGCAACGGTTTAGTGGTGTTAGCATGCGGCGATTATTATATTGCAGAAAGGTGAATGTTTGTTGTGATTAATATGCATTTTAGATATGGGTTATGGGTATCGCTCACACTAGATTTCTGGGTAATAAGATTTATTGATCAGGTAGACCTGTGTGTTATAATTAGGGAGGGCGACCCAGCGCTGTCGGGGGGCAAATTGCATCCTTTGGGGGTCAGCACCTCCAGGTCTATGATGACGTCACGAGCAAGTATGGCTACCAATCTAATAGCCGGCAATGCAACAGCTTTGCAGCCCCATGCGCATCAGCGTAACATTATACGCCTAGCATATGCCTAACATTATAGCCTACCATATATATATATATATATATATAGTATATATATATATATATATATATATTATATATATATGCTACTATATGCTATATAAATATATTACTATATGAAAGCATTGATGTTACATAATGTTTATTTTTGGACTCATGGTTAATCATTATCGTGACTCCACTCACCTCACCATCAACACACACACACAACACACGGCGCATACACTAACGCACGTCTGACAGGCACAACGAAAGCTCCAGCTAAGAGCTATCGCATCAACCTGCAAAGCAATGTGCTCCATAAATTACACTTGCTAGGTAAATTCACTAGGTCATGCCACATCGCATATCCCCGTAGAGATGTCTATTATGTACACCGCGCTCGAGAGCACTACAGCGCCTAACATTATACACAGACAGACCAGTTGCCCCCTACATATATGATCAATTAATATGGAATCAATATTGAGAAATAACTGATGTCTGGAGGGACTAAATCTAACTTGAATTTTTTGTTACTCAGGAACCTACACCAGGCAGCAATTGTCGCATATTCTTTATACTTTGGAGTCTTACCA